CAGATGCATACACCCACACGCGCACACAGATGCATACACCCACACGCGCACACAGATGCATACACCCACACGTGCACACAGATGCATACACCCACACGTGCACACAGATGCACACAGATGCATACACCCACACGTGCACACAGATGCATACCATCCACACGTGCACACAGATGCATGCGCCCACACGCGCACACAGACGCATACACCCACACGTGCAAACAGATGCATACCACCCATAGGCGCACACACATGCACATACACCCACACTTGCACACATGCACATACACCCACACGCGCACACAGATGCATACACCCACACGTGCACACAGATGCACACAGATGCATACACCCACACATGCACACAGATGCATACCATCCACACATGCACACAGGTACATACACCCACACGCGCACACAGGTGCATACCACCCACACGCGCACACAGATGCATACACCCACACGTGCACACAGATGCATACACCCACACGCGCACACAGATGCATACACCCACACGTGCACACAGATGCATACACCCACACGTGCACACAGATGCACACAGATGCATACACCCACACGTGCACACAGATGCATACCATCCACACGTGCACACAGATGCATGCGCCCACACGCGCACACAGACGCATACACCCACATGCGCACACAGATGCATACACCCACACGTGCACACAGATGCATACACCCACACGTGCACAGAGGTGCACACAGATGCATACACCCACACGTGTACACAGATGCATACCATCCACACGTGCACACAGATGCATGCGCCCACACGCGCACACAGACGCATACACCCACACGTGCAAACAGATGCATACCACCCACACGCGCACACACATGCACATACACCCACACTTGCACACATGCACATACACCCACACGCGCACACAGATGCATACACCCACACGTGCACACAGATGCACACAGATGCATACACCCACACATGCACACAGATGCATACCCCATCCACACATGCACACAGGTACATACACTCACACGTGCACACAGGTGCATACACCCACACGTGCACACAGGTGCATACCACCCACACGTGCACACAGATGCATACCACCCACACGTGCACATGCACATACACCCACACGCGCACACAGATGCACATACACCCACACTTGCACACATGCACATACACCCAAACGTGCACACAGATGCATACCACCCACACATGCACACAGACGCATACACCCACACGTGCACACAGATGCATACCACCCACACGCGCACACAGATGCATACACCCACACGCGCACACAGATGCATACACCCACACGCGCACACAGATGCATACACCCACACGTGCACACAGATGCATACACCCACACGTGCACACAGATGCACACAGATGCATACACCCACACGTGCACACAGATGCATACCATCCACACGTGCTCACAGATGCATGCGCCCACACACGCACACAGACGCATACACCCACACGTGCAAACAGATGCATACCACCCACACACGCACACACATGCACATACACCCACACTTGCACACATGCACATACACCCACACGCGCACACAGATGCATACACCCACACGTGCACACAGATGCATACACCCACACATGCACACAGATGCATACCATCCACACATGCACACAGGTACATACACCCACACGTGCACACAGGTGCATACCACCCACACGCGCACACAGACGCATACACCCACACGCGCACACATATGCATACACCCACACGCGCACACAGATGCATACACCCACACGTGCACACAGATGCACACAGATGCATACACCCACACGTGCACACAGATGCATACCATCCACACGTGCACACAGATGCATGCGCCCACACGCGCACACAGACGCATACACCCACATGCGCACACAGATGCATACACCCACACGTGCACACAGATGCATACACCCACACGTGCACACAGATGCATGCGCCCACACGCGCACACAGACGCATACACCCACACGTGCAAACAGATGCATACCACCCACACGCGCACACACATGCACATACACCCACACTTGCACACATGCACATACACCCACACGTGCACACAGATGCATACACCCACACGTGCACACAGATGCACACAGATGCATACACCCACACATGCACACAGATGCATACCATCCACACATGCACACAGGTACATACACTCACACGTGCACACAGGTGCATACACCCACACGTGCACACAGGTGCATACCACCCACACGTGCACACAGATGCATACCACCCACACGTGCACATGCACATACACCCACACGTGCACACAGATGCATACCACCCACACGTGCACACAGATGCATACCACCCACACATGCACATGCACATACACCCACACGTGCACACACATGCATACACCCACACGTGCACACAGGTACATACACCCACACGTGCACACAGGTGCATACACCCACACGTGCACACAGGTGCATACCACCCACACGTGCACACAGATGCATATCACCCACACGTGCACACAGATGCATACCACCCACACATGCACATGCACATACACCCACACGTGCACACAGATGCATACACCCACACGTGCACACAGATGCATACACCCACATGTGCACACAGATGCATACCACCGAAAGAAACACATTTTAAGGAAAAAAAAATAGGGTCGAATATAAACCAGACCTGGTGTCTCATGCCTTGATTCCAACACTCAGGAGGCAAGAATATCACTTTGAGTTAGAGGGTAGCTAATATATATATATATATATAATGAGTTTTAGGCTAACCTAGAATATATAGCAAGATGCTGTCTAACAGTTCTATATCCTTGACTGGATAGCTGGAATGAAAAGGAGGATTCTTGCCATAGATAACAAGACAGGACACGTGCAGGTCCAGGCAGTTGCACCCATTTGGGCTGGCATTTGCTTTAGGGAATGATGTCTCAGATGTCATATACCAAAGAGGAGATGGATGCATGAAACCCATTTAAATTTTAAAAAAAGGGGGGGGGCAGGTAGAATATTCTGGAAACATTCACACAGAAGCCATATTTCCATGCAACTTAAACCTCAAAGAGCAAAGCCGAACTGTATCCTACTAGGGTGGCCTAAAGAGAAAGGGGAGACTTCCCTCTTATCCTCAGGCCAGTTGAAAAGTGGAAAACGGTATAAGAGGTGGAATGTCCCTTAGACAGTACTCAGTCCAAGTTCGTTGCCATTTGTGTTTGGAGGTAGAACGTATCGCCTTTGTTATGTTTGCCTTTGCCCAGAAGATTACTAATTCTTTGTAGAAATACTGTTCTCACATCTCAAAATCATGAAACTAAGTGTTCTACCCTCTTTTTTTTCATTTAATTTATAGTGGTTCCCACTGTTGTAGTTTGTAAATACCACCCCCCCCCCAAGCTGGGAATAAAATCCAAACCTAGATAGAGCCTCACACATCCTAGGTAAGTGCTCTACCACTGTACTACAGCTCTAACCTCACATAAGCACAGTTTGTGTGCATGTGTGCTAACAGAAATCAAACCTATGGCCTTCTATTTGCTAGGCAAGTACTCTACCACTGAGCTACATCTTCAGACTCAGTGTGATTTTTACCTTAGGGTTTTTTTTGTTGTTGTTGATTTTCAAAAGCATATCTTAAATACTTTATCATTTTAAAGTAATTTTAAGCAATAGAGTGGTACATATATTAAAAATACTTGGAAGACAGAGGCAGGCCAGCCTGAACTACAAAGCAAGTTCTAGGTTAGCCAGGGCTAAATAATGAGACCCTGTATCAAAAAATAAATGTGTGTCTGACAAGATCGCTGAGTAGATAAAAGCACTTGCTGCCAGTCCTGAGGACCCAGGATCAATTCTCAGAGCCTACATAGTGGAAGGGAAGAACTACCTCAGGCTGTCCTGACCTTCACACACATGGTGGGATGAGTGTTAATGCGCACACATAACTAAAAAAATGTAATAAAAAGCCATTCTTTTTCGATGAAAGTTCTTCCATTAGTTCCAGTGCTCCTTTCCACACTCCCATTCCAGTTCCTACTTCCCTCCTCACTTTGAGCCACTGCTCAAAGTTTAGTTGAGTATAGTATTACATGGGTTTGTAATTTTCCATCTGATGGGAAAAGTCAGGGTCAAGTTGTTCCCCCATTTGGGGACATTTGGGGGTTTTCCTGGTTTAGCTATCTATTGAAAACATAAATGAAAGATTCCACTGGATGGAACTCAGCCTGGACTGCAGATATGATTGACGACTTGTGTTACTCGGGTGACTTCAGAGTCATTGGTGCTGAATAAAACCCATCTGGATATAAATTTCAAGTAGAAGAAGGGGCCTGCAATGTGCTCAGGAGTGCTATGTGGACTGTTCCACACTGAACACTTCCTAGCCACGTTCTTTTCTGTACCCGATATCCTGAGATAAGGGACCTTCTTCCCATCTAACCATGGAAAGCCATGGTTCAGAGGAGTCCAGTGCCTGACCCAGGGTCGCACTCTACATAGTTCAGAGAAGGGCTCTTAAGTTTTCAGACACCAATTTGAGGATTTGTAGTTCTGCTACAAAGAGCAGGGGACCTTGATTTCCTGTCTTTACATAAGCAAAAACCATTATCATAGCTATAAACTACCTTCAACCCAAAAGAAATACTGGGCTGAGTGGCCATGGGGTCTGGGCTATTAGGGGGTGAGTGTTTTGGTGCCTGGGTTTGAACCCTCATTCATGCCAGGCAGGTTCTACTTCTGAGCTCCACCCCTACTCGGTTGTTAGTTATTTTCAAACTGTAGCTTGGGTACCTAATACCCAATGGTTTGTGTGCTTTGTAGCCGTCCCAATAAGCATTGCTTTGAGAACCTAAGAAATCTGAGGCCTGAAAAGAGGTGAGGAAACTCCTAGCAGAATTGGCTTCAGAGGCACTCAAGCCCAATTGTGTGTGGTGCTGGGCCCCTCCAGAGACATCTGGACAGCTGAGTGAGGCCTCATTCTGCTCTCTGCTCCTCCTCCTAGATAACAGCGACTTGATCGCATGCACAGTCATCACCAAGGACGGCGGCATGGTTCAGCGCTTCCTGGCTGTGGATATTTACCAGATGAGCCTGGTAGAGCCTGATGTGTCCAGACTCGGCTGGGGAGTGGTCAAGTTTGCAGGCCTTCTGCAGGTGAGAGTCTTAAGAACCCGTCTGCCTTCTCAGCCAGCTCCACACACGCATGCCTAAGTGTCAGTTCTAATAACACAGGAAGGAGCTGCGCAAAAGCCAGAACACTGCATAGACAAAAGCCAAGTTCCCTTTACTGAAGCCCTAACGTTCTCCCCTTCCTTCAGGATCCAGCCCATTGTCAGGCTGATCCTTCCAGATCTGCTTCACTGCCAAGTGCAAGTAATAAATGTACTGTTTTTTAAATTGTGTATCCAACCAATTGTCAATCAAACTTGATGGAGAAGGACCACATGGTTGTATACATTTATAATCTCAGCATTCAGGCAGTAGAATCAGGATGATATCCACAAATTCAAAGACAAACTGGTCTATTTAATAAGTTCCAAATCAGTTGGGTAAGTCCATGTAGCAAGACCTTGTCTCAAAATAAAATGAGGGTAGGGGTAGGATGGGAGTGAAGATAGGGTGCTGGGGGCGGGGTGTAGCTTAGTTGATAAGGACTGCTTACCTAGCATACAAGTGGCCCTGGATTCCATTTCCAACACTGCATAAAACTGGGTATAATCATACATATCTATAACTCAGGAAGTTAGGAGGTAGAGGATGATCAGAAGTTAAAGTTCATCTTTGGCTACCCAGGGAATCTGAGGCCAGCCTGAGCTACATGAGACCCTGTCTCAAACAAACAAAAAACAGACTAGGTGTTGTGGCACACGCCTTTAATCCTAGTACTTGGGAGACAGAGGCCGGTGGATCTCGGTAAGTCTAAGACCAGCCTGGTCTACATAGCCAGCTCCAGTCCAGCCAAGGCTACATAAAACAAACAAAAACTTCAGAAAGAAATATAACCAGGCAGTGGTGGTGCACGTCTTTAATCCCAGCCATCAGAAGGCAGAGGCAGACAGAACTCCAAGTTTGAGGCCAGCCTGGTCTACAGAGTGAGTTTCAGGACAGCCTTATCTTTATTCTCTAAATAACTGTTTACACAGCATCTATATGGCATGAAGTCTTATGCATCATCTAGGGAGGGTTCAGAGTCTACAGGAAGATGTAGTAGGTTATATGAAGATGCTGTGCCATTTAAAGTAAGGGACTTGAGCATCTGCAGATTTTGGTGTCTCCGTGGGTAGGGGAGTACCCAAGGGATACTTGAACATGTATTTGAGAGTGTATATAGATTTTTATGCCTGGCTTTTCTCCTAGTCTGTCTTGGAGTATGTCTGGCAATTTTAGCATTTGCATACCTGCTGGGATTCTTTTACATACTGACCACAGCCTCCCTCTCCTCATTCTCCTCTCCCAATTCCTTCTCCCCCGCCCCCGCCCAGCTCCCACCCCATCAATCCTCTCCTCTTTTGTCTCCATCCAGAAAAGGGCAGGTCTCCCATGAGTATCAATAAACCATGGCATATCAAGTTACAAGTCCCCATGTATTAAAGCTGGGCAGCGCAACCCAGTATGAAGAGTAAGGTCCCAAAAAAACAGTAAAAGAGTCGAAGCAACCCCTGTTCCTGCTGTTAGGAGTCCCACAAGGAGGCTAAGCTACATAACTGTAACATATATGCAGAGGGCCTAGGTCAGTCCCATGCAGGCTCTCTGGTTGTTGCTTCAGTCTCTGTGAGCCCCAATGGGCCCAGGTTAAATGATGGTGTGAGCCTTCCTGTGGTGTCCTCGACCCCTCTGGTTCCTATACTCCTTTTTCATCATCCTCCACAGGAATCCCAAATCCCACAGGAATCCCATCTAATGTTTGGCTGTTGAGTCTCTGCATCTGCCTCCATCAGTTGCCTCTTTGATGACAATTGGGCCAGGCACCAGTCTGGTCACAGTCTGGTTCAGGTTTACCTATCCACCATTATCAGAAGTCTAAGCTGGGGTCCTCCCTGTAGACTCTTGGGAGATCCCCTGCACCAGACTTCTACCCAACCCCAAAATGCACCCCCGGCAGTCCCTTTCAGCACTCTCCCCCTCCACCCCCCAACCAGATTGCTCATGTTCCCATCCTCACCTGCCCTCAGTCCACTCATGAAATCTCTTATATTTCCCCTTCCCAGGGAGATCTAGGTGTTACCCCCATGAACGTTCTTGTTATCTAATCTCCCTGGGTCTGTGGACTATAGCTTAGTTATGCTTTATTTTACAGCTATATCCACTTATGAGTGAGAACATACCATGTCTATCTTTCTTGGTCTGGGTTACCTCACTCAGGATGATTTTTTTTCTTGTCCCTTCAACATGTATAAATGTACCATATTTTCTTTATCCATTCCTCAGTTGAAAGACATCTAGGATGCTTCCAGGTTCTGGCTATTACAGATAAAGCTGCTATGAACATAGTTGAGCAAGGGACCTTGTGCATCCTTTGGGTATATGCGCAAGAGCGATGTAGCTGGGTTTTGTGGTAGGTTGATTCCCAGTTTTCTGAGACACTGAAACCACACTAACTTCCAAAGTAACTGTACAGAAAATCATTAGGTCATACTTCAAAAACCTATACTCCACAAAACTAGAAAATCTAAAAGAAATGGACAAATTTCTTGATAGATACCGCTTACCTATATTAAATCAAGATCAAATAAATAATTTAAATAGCCTGATAACTCCTAAGGAAATAGAAGCAGTCATTAAAAGTCTCTCAACAAAAAAAAAAAAAAAAAAAAAAAACAGGCCCAGGCCAGAGAGTTTTAGCCTAGAATTCCACCAGACTTTCAAAACTAATACCATTAATTATTCCACAAAATAGAAACAGAAGAAACATTGCCAAATGCTTTCTATGAGGCCACAGTCACCCTGATACTCAAACCGCACAAAGACTCAACAAAGAAAGAGAATTACAGACCAGTTTCACTCACGAACACAAATATAAAAATACTCAATAAAATACTGGCAAACCAAACCCAAGAACAACAAAAAAAAAAAACCACTATGACCAAGTAGGCTATATCCCCAAGATGCAGGGATGATTCAACATACGAAAATATGTCAATATAATCCACCGTATAAACAAACTCAAAGGAAAAAAAAAACAAATGATCATCTCCTTAGATGCTGAAAAAGCCTTCAACAAAATCCAACACCCCTTCATGATAAAGGTCTTGGAGAGATCAGGGATGCAAGGAACGTGCCTAAACATAATAAGAACAGTATACAACAAGCCAGTTGCCGATATCAAATTAAATAGAAACTGAAGGCAATTCCACTAAAATCAAGAAGACAAGGTTGTCTACTCTCTCCTATTCAATATAGTATTTGAAGTTCTAGCTAGAGCAGTAAGACAACTAAAGGAAATCAAGGAGATACAAATCAGAAAGGAAGAAGTCAGAGAGTATCATTAACTGCAAATGATATGATGGTATACATAAGCGACCCCAAAAACTCTACCAGGGAGCCTCCACAGCTGATAAATACCTTTAGTCAAGTGACTAGATACAAGATTAACTCAAAAAGAAAAAAAATCTGTAGCCCTCCTACATACAACTGATAAACAGGCTGAGAAAGAAATCAGAAAATTGACACCCTTTATAGTAATCTCGTAATATGAAATATCTTAGTGTCCCTTTAACCAAGCGAGTGAAAGACCTGTATGACAAGAACTTCAAGTTCAAATATACCCTCTTCCTAACACTGCACGGAACCTTCTCCAAAATTGACTGTATACTCGGCCACAAAGCAAGTCTCAACAGATACAAAAAAAAAGAAAAAATTGAAATAACACCCTGTATCTTATCAAACCACCATGGACCAAAACTGGATTTCAACAACAACATAATCTACAGAAAGCCTACACATTCGTGGAAACTGAACAACTCTTCTGGCTGAGTTATCACTGGGCCAAGTTAAAAATAAAGAATTTAAAGACTTCTCAGAATTCAATGAAAATGAATACACAACATACCTAAACTTATAGGACACAATAAAAACAGTGCTAAGAAGAAAATTCATAGCGCTAAGTGCCTTCATGAGAGATGTCATACTAGCTACTGAGCAGCACCCCTGAAAGCTCTAGAACAAAAAGAAGCAGGCACACATAGGAGGAGTAGATGGCAGGAAATAACCAAACTGAGGGCTGAAATCAATAAAATAGAAACACAGAGAACAATACAAAGACTCAGTGAAACAAAGAGTTGGTTCTTTGAGGAAAATCAACAAAATAGATAAACCCTTATCCAAACTAGCTAAAAGGCAGAGAGAGAATATCCAAATCAACAAAATCAGAAACAAAAAGGGGGACATAACAAACTCCAAGGAAATACAGAGAATCATTAGACCATACTTCAAAAACCTGCTGGGATTCTGTTCACTGCTGTGTGGCTACACAGGGCAAGCTCAACCATCCCCAACTTCCAAGCATGCTGCTGCAAACCTGGTGCCCCACTTCCTCATGCCCCTGGGCAGGATTTCCCTAGGCAGATAACCAAGAATTTGGAGTGTGGCTATTTTAAGAGTTCTTAGCTCCTGCCAGCTTCCTCTAGTATCATCGTTGCCACAGGAGTTCCTGAGAATTGCGTCCTTGGCTCTGAGCACAGCAGGCACCCAGCACCATCACCAACTCCGTGGTTTATAGTGCGTTCTAAGTGCAGCAAATGACTAATGTCTTGCTGCAGAGGGAGTGAAACAAAAAGCCCACAGAATGGAGAGCAGCTTGCCACTTCATCTCTGCTGTGCCCTATCCCCAAATTCCCAGTGAACCTATTCTGGCCTGGGGCTTGCCCTATTTTAAGGAAGTCCATTTTCTTGCTGTGCTGTTCTGGTTCCCAGAAGTACCATGCCCTGGCTGATTTGATTGCTCATCACAGCATTGGCCAGCCAGTTGTTGCCTGCTCTTCATGGGATGCACCTGTGTGTGAAGGTGCTGCTCCTGTCTCCTCCCTTTCCCAGACTCCTCTCTTTTCAGACCCTCCTGTCTTCCAGTGAGGATGAGGAGGGTCTTCCCGCCCCCCGGGTCTTCTGTGTAAAACACCACCCAGTAGATGACCTGTGTCTTATTATCAAGATTTATACCAATTTCTTTAGTGCTTAATATCAGGAAAGTGTTTTTCTGTCTCAAAGAATTAATCTGTATCCTCTGTCAGACAATGAAAGTCAGATAACCCTACCAGCACCACCTGCCTTGGTTCTCTTCCAATAGCTACTATTTGTCAGGCTGTTACTATACACCTAGCTCCCTGCTTTGAATTTATAATAGCATCATCTGATCCGCTGGCACCCTTTGATGCAAACATTCTTTCCAAAGAGAAAGCCAAATGCAGCGCCCAAGAGCAGTAGCCCCCTCCTTTTGAACCTCCTTCAGTGCCTCCCACCTCCTCTAGCATGGCTGACCTTTGAGTCCATCTTCTGTCTGGTACGCTTTAACCTTTGTGGGCAGCTGACTTGGCTCAGAAGCCATCCTGAGCCTTTATGTGGAACCAATCCTTATACAGTCAGTGTCTTTTCTCCCTTTCATGTGCAGCTTGCTTTAAGTCTCTACCAAATGGCCCTGGTGGCACTCTTTTGGGGACTGTCCTTCGAGATGTGCCAAAGGACACCAGCAATGCCCCATTTTTTAGAGAAACAAGGAGATGGTGTCTAACATGACACCAGGTAGTGACAAGTATTTGGAGTTGTGACCTATGGTTTCCCAGAAGGAAGAATTATTGGAGTTTTTTTGTTGTGACAGTGGCAACCCCTCTTCAATCATTAGGCATCCCAAGTTCTCATGGGAAGAAGTTACTAGCCATGGCAGCATTGGCCCCTTTCCCCCAACAGGCCTGCATGGTCTGCACCCACCTTTGAGTCTTTGAGATTTGGCCTCCTTCAGAACAAAAGCAGACTTCAAAGTGCTTTCAAAGTGCTGGTCTTTTTCTGCATGAACCACTGACGCCCCACAATCTGCCAACCCCTGGGCCTGATGGACATTTTGCCTTTGCCTTCTCACTATGCAGGACATGCAGGTGACAGGAGTGGAGGATGATAGCCGTGCCCTGAATATCACTATCCACAAGCCTGCCTCCAGCCCACATTCTAAGCCCTTCCCCATCCTGCAGGCCACCTTTGTGTTCTCTGATCATATCCGTTGCATCATCGCCAAACAGCGCCTGGCCAAGGGCCGCATCCAGGCCAGACGGATGAAGATGCAGAGGATAGCTGGTAAGTCACATCAAGAGTAGGGGCTCACCACCACGGGGCTGTCACCAGCTGCTCACATTGACCTAGGAAAGTCCCAGGGTTCCTGTAGATGAGGGCAGGAAGAGTCAGGATTCACTGTGCTTCAAAGAATAAGATGTTTCTGCATCTCAGTGTTTGGAGTGGAGAAAATTTCCAGGGCTGTGTGGAAAAGAAGGTGACTCTCCCTACCAGACAAGAGGCTAGAATCAGGCAGTTGGTAGGAGACAGCTGTCCTTACTCTTGATGCTGAAACACCAAGTGTACCAAGAGTGCTTTGACCGCTGCCTGCCATGTTGGGTATCCAAGCAGCCCTTAGGTTGGTAGAGCCTTTTATGTCCATTGTACAAGAGGAAACTAAGGCTGTGAATTTTTAGTCACACATAAAACAAGTTTGCAGAGCTTCCTACTTGGAATTTTTGTTCCAACTCTGAGGATGAAGCCCAGGGCCCCACACATGCTAGACAAGGACCGCCACTGAGCTGCCCTAGCCTAGCAGAATTTCCCTCACCCTTCCCTCCTCTCCCTGTTACCTCTCCGTGAGAGCCAGCACCCAGAACTAGATTCAGAGGCCATCTCACACCTCACAAGGATGGTGGGGTCTGCACTGCCCAGGCTGTCTTGGTAAATAAGGGTGTTTCTTTGTCTCCTGAAGTAGAAGGCAAAGCATTGTCCTGGGGCAGAGCGGAGTGGTGCAGTCCTAATGTTTCCTTCAAGACTCCCAGGTTAGAGCTGTAGCTCAGATGGTAGAATGATTGTCTAGCATATACAAAGCCCTAGGTTTGACCCTTGACACCATATCAAACTAGTTGTAGTGACACATTCCTATAATCCTAGCACTTGGGAGGTGGAGGCAGAAGGCATACAAGTTTAAGGTCATTGTCACTATATAATGAGTTCAACATAAGCCTGGGCTCCTGTCTCACAAAAGATATAAGTGAATGAATGAATGAACAAACAAAGTTAATACCTTTGGCTCAGGTCCAAATCTAGCCCACTGTGAAGAGGGGGCATTCTCTCAGAGAGCAAAGGAAGAATAATCTCTGGGTATGCTTCATTTCTGGACACTGAAGTTATGATGCCGTGCATGCCTCCATGATGTGCACCTGAGTCACCCCCTCTTATTTCTCAGTTAGCTGAAACCTGGCCTGTGAAATCATGACAGGAGTGTTTTGTAATGTGTAAAGTAACTTAAATCATTCAGCACTTCCTTTCAAGATTTAATTTCCCGACTTTTCCCCTGTGATGTGAATCAGTTTCTCACAGCTGTCTTGAAGGCCAGATATTTCATTTGAAAATTGAGGATTGCACTATAAAGTGACTGCTAGCATAAACACCTTGCATATTTCTTAAATTAATTTTGAAAAGCCACTCTGAACTGATATGTGATGAGAGTTGTTTAAGGGAAGATGTGACATGTAAGCGCACACTCATAAATACAAACATGTACATACATATATATATATGCTTTCTTGTACACATATTCTCATGAGCATTTATAGTCAAGATCACACACACACACGCACACTACACCCCGCCAAATTAAATAATCTGAAATGGGGCTGGAGCAATGGCTCAGTCAGTAAAGTGCTTGCCACACAACCATGAGGTTTTGAGTTTACATTCCTCAGCATCCATGTAAAAGCAAGGTATGGCAGCATGCAGCTATAATCCCAGCCATTGGGAGATGGAGATGGAGAAGCTCCATGGCTCAACCAGTGAGTATCATAAACTAAGGAAAAGTGCTTGCAAGGTGACTCAGGAAGTAAAGGTGCTTACCACTGAGTCTACCAGCCTGAGTTCAATCCCTAGAACCTATTTGGTGGACACAGGGTACTAACTCTTGCAAGTTGTTCTCCACACTTTTGGCATGCTACATATTGATGCCTGTATGCACATGTACATGTCCACACACACACACACAAAATAGATATATGTAGAAAAAAAAACCTTTTTAAAGTTGGATAGCATTCAAGGAAGATAGCATTGATCTCTGACCTCATGTACACCCACACATATACATAAATACATACAAAAAAACTTTGAAAAAATCTGCATTTGTATTGAACCTATGCAGAGTTTTTCCATGAGTTTATTCCCTAAACAGTATAGGAAAGAATGCCTTCTGTAGTACTTGGATTGCATTAAATGTAAGTCATCCAGAGATGATTGACAGTGGACAGGATATATATAGGTCATGTACAGATATAATTGTATTCTACATAAGGGACCTAACTACAGGTTTTGGTATCTTTGGGGAGGAGTGCTGCAGATACTGAAGGGTCACTCGTTTGTGTAGCTTGTTTGTCTGTCCATGTCTGCCTGTGCACAAACTTGGGGCGGAATTGGCCTCACTTGCTGTGGTATCTGACAGCACGCGAAGCGAAGCCTTTGGGATCTTTTGTACAGGCCCAAAGTGCAAATTGGCCCAGCATTTGTTCTCTCCAGCCAGGCCTGAACTTTTGCCTTTTTGTCTGAACCTTGGCCTAAAGCCCCTACTTCTAGTTGTGTTTTGACTTCCTTAGGGTCTCTGGCATTCTGCCAGTCTCCTACCTCAAGGCTGTCTGTTTGGGTTCCCCCAAGTGTTGCACTGTCAAGGCCAGTATCTCTCTGGCCTGATGCTCAAGTCATATCAAATTGTCTGTCCCGTGTTCCACATGCTAAGAACAAACTCTGGTGCTGTTTGATTATAGCCCTTCTGGACCTCCCAATCCAGCCTACAACTGAAGTCCTGGGATTTGGACTTGGCTCCTCCTCCTCCCAGCACCTGCCTTTCCGTTTCTATGACCAGTGCCGCCGAGGCAGCAGTGACCCCACAGTGCAGCGCTCTGTGTTTGCATCCGTAGACAAGGTGCCAGGTAAGCCTGTCCTCCTGCTCGGGGCTCAGGGTGCTTTCCTGCGAGGCCTGCTGGAAGTCTTCCTCTCAGAAGCCAGGCTGCTGGAAGCCGCAGCTTCGTGGAGCACAAGTGAGGCACACCTAAACTGCGATCTTGCCTTTCCCTTCTTTCTTCCGTCACTTGGGTTTGCTTTTCCAGAGAGTTGTTAGGTATGTGAAGAAAGTTCTCAGAATCAGGACTAAAAAGTTTCTTGGAAATAGGTGGCTGGTTAGTAATGAAGGTTGTGGAGAGATGTCTTCCTTCTTGTAAGATGACTAGGATAGTGTGTGGTTCCTGGTACCCTGAGAAGGGTAGACCCGTGAGGAAGTTCCAGTGCCCACAGGCCTTCTGCTTCTCCCATCTGGGAGCAGCTCCTCCCACTTCCGACAGCTCTGTCTCCAGCCCTTCTACCATTCTCCAAAAAGGGAAACTTGTGTGGAAAGTTGAGGGGAAGCAGAGCAGCGCAGCGCTCCGTCCCTACCCTGACACATGGACCTCAGTAGATGCATGTGCAGCAGATCCCACAAGCTGGGGGGAGGAGGGATGAATCTCTTCTCTTAATTAGAAAACGGAGAAGACTGGCCAGGCTCTCCTCCACTCTTAACATGTCCATGTTCAGGGCTCAAACTTGAAAGTATTATGAGATGGTCCCAAAAGTGATTGTTGATGTTGGAACAGCAAACAGCCATGACAGCCTACTCAAATCCAAGACCTTGTCCACCTGTGGTTTAGTCTGCTTTCATCCATGATTTTATTTATGTATGTCATGTATACCATAATTATATAATTTCTAAAAACCGACAAGATTTGATAAAATGCAGACAAGTTGAGCCAGGCATGGCACCTTTAATCCCAGCACTTGGGAAGCAAAAGCAAGAGGATATAGAGTTTGAGGCCAACCTGGTCTACAAAGTTAGTTCCAGGACAGCCAGGGCTACACAGAGAAACCCCATCTCAAAAAAAAAGTAAAGAAGTCTCTTTTGCTCTAGAGGTAAACATGTGAACAGTTTCTTGCGTGTCCTTCTAGAAAAGTCTATTTGCATGTCATAAGTATGTCTTTGTATCATACGCAGAGTTATATGCTATGTATGTGATTCTATATGTGATTCCCCACTTTGGGTACTTAATTTGAAGTCAGCATTATATGTTAGCACAAATAATTGACTTATTAACTATTGCCTGGTATTCTAGTGGATGTCTGGAACAAAGCATTTTTCCACATTTTATGTTGATAGATGTTCCACCACACCCTGCTAGGGAAAGGTTTTAAATTCTGGTAGATACAGTCCTAAGGTGAACAGCAACAGAAAGTCACTTGGCAGCCCTTCACCTGTAACAGCTTTCTCTCTGAATGACTAGTTTAGGCTGTGAGTTGCATGGCAGCCTGTTTTCATCTTCAGCTAGGAGGTGTGAGATGGTGCTCCCTTTTGGATCCAGGTTCTCCTTGTTAAAAGTCTTCTGGTCTACCACATTGGAAACAGTGGTTGCTCAGTTGATACAAATTACCACAACTGAGGGTAGGTAGACTAACACACCCTGGCCTGGTAAGAAATTCCCTCTTTGGGGCATCACACTTCTTTCCATCCCAGAACTTATTGGTAAAGAAAATCCCTGAGTCCTGTTTCTAGCTAGTCCTTAGGACTAGGTGGGGTGCAGCAGGCTGAGACCAATCCTACCTGTCCTCAGCATCTGCACCGTTTCTTTGTTAGCACAATGCAGGAGATAGCAGTTCTCTTCCTGGCCTCCCAGGCCTGCTGGTGCTGCCAGAGTCTATGAAATCATCAGTTTGAGCTCGGACCTTTGCTGGTTCACACAACCATGACATTGCTGTGTCCTGCTGCTGATCCCAGGACCAGAGGATATGAGGCCATACCTATGAGATCTAGAGTATGTCCCAGGGAACTGCTGCAGGAGGCCATCAGACCCTTAATTGGCTCTAGTAGATCCATAAAGCTTGGACAGGGATGAGACATTGTCATTTATATCCCCCATGAGCTCTTCTCCTTCCTACAAGCCCCACTGCATAACTTGATGCTTACTAGAGAAGTGTCTGCAGGTGCTTAGGAAGAAAGCCCTGGGCCCTGAGCCCTCAGAAGGGTGGGTGTTCCGTGAAAGGAAGGGTGGCAGCCCACCACCATCTTCCCAGCACTAAGCACCCCAGCAGCCACTCAAGAACTCTGCTCCATTTCCTCTCCATGACACCCCAGTGCTTTGTTTGCTCTACCCCAAAGATGCTCCCTGCAGACTTGCCAGTAGATCACAACAGGATCAACTTCCTCATTATGTCCAGTTTCCACCAACTGGGTATTCCCAGAAGCCTACACCTCTCCCTCTGATCTCAAGTGGTCACTAGGATGCACTCACTTGGGCAGCTGCGGCAGCCCACTCATCAGCCCTCCACCTCCCTTCAGCACTCCTCAGGCTGTGGACTTAAGACCCCTTCATGTCTTTTCAAAGTCCTGGGTGTCCAGAGGGCTTGAGTTTTTGTGGATTATGGCTATCCATGTTCATAATACTAGAAATTGAAGCTAAAAAATGCTTTGCATAATTACTTGATAGTCTATCACATATAAGACATCAAAAGCATAACCATCTGTGAAAGGTGATTCTGTTCAGACTTTACAGTTTGGGATCTTACTGTGTGGCACAGTAGCAGTCAGGCCTGCCTGAGAGCTTCTGCATCGGTCTGTTTAAGGAGGAACCTTCCTTGGTCACCTTAGAGAGAGGCGTACAAAGGGAAAGGGTGACTTACTACTGTCTGCAGGCTCCAAAGCACACCTAGAGACCCACTGCTGTGCCATGGAGTCCTGCCCTGCCTCAATGGCCTTACACTGGCTGCTTTACCTAGCTCTTGGGTGCCTACTTCCCAGGGATAGCCCAAGCTCAGTGTGTGGGCTGCTTCCTCCAGAGGCCTTTTGTGAGTATTCTGCTAACCAGGGCCACACCCTTCCCCCACCACATTGCACTGGTTTATTTTCTCCATAGGATTCAGTTCCATAGCTGGCTGACATATTTGTGTCCCTGAATGTGGTTTCTTTCCCCATGGAGAATGTCACTGTGTGAAACTGTTCTATTCACCACTCTACTTCAGCGCCCAGCTGTGGCTTTATTCAGTATTTGTCAAGTGAAATGTAAGCCTGCACTTCCCTCCAAAGTTGTCTTCTTTGTCTGAACACCAAGAAGAAAAGGATATCCCATCTAGGACCTCAGGCATCCAGGGGCTTAGTCTGCCCAGGGAACATAGGAGGACCAGATCTTCAGCAACACCACCATCTAACTTCTGTTGCCAGACTGACATGTCTCTCCCAAGCAGGAGTACTTGGCAATAGTTTAGGTGGTTGCCTGTTGCAGCATGTGCTCCCTCTCCAGTCGCCTTCCTCAGCTTTGCAGAGCCAGTCAGGAGAGCCAGGTGGAAGGGTGGCCATTAACCTCCACTCTACAGCACCTCAGGGTGCCGTGTGTGACCCTTGCCCCCTTCTGAAAGGATACCTCAGGCTGTTGACTAAGGGGATTCTTACCAATTCAAAGGGAGAAACAAACTCAACCTGTGCATGGGCAGTTCTCAGGGTTCACTTGTTTGGGACACGTCTTTCCTTTTTGTCTGTGTCCCTCCCAAGTGATGTGCAGACCAGTGTGACTCTCCTTTAGACTCTAAATTTGATTATATTTGATGGAAGTATACCTCACACTTCCTTGGGGGAATAGTAAGATGGAATATAAGCCAGGCTGGGAAGTTAGCAGCCAGCCATTCTCAAGTGTTTCTTCCTCTCTTTGGCTAAGAAGTTACAAATTCTGAGTATCTGTATTAATGTAGATACATCAGATGTTCTGTAGTGATGGCTCTTGCCACCCCAGTAGTCAGCTTCCTGGAGCAGAGTCTGAGTGACCTGGTCAGGGAGGGAATGTCAGTGGTAGCCAGCATGGGGGCAACAGCTGCTTGAGGAGTGCCCCAAGCTCTCACAGCAGTAACTACTTCTGAAATTTGCCGTGGCCAGCAAGATAGACACAGGGCAGCCTTGAACTGGTGTTTCCATAAATGCCAGGTGAAGATTCCAAGCAGAAGCTCTTCCCAGCAGAACTTCTTTCTTATGGCTGAATTATGTTCCTTGCATGAATATACCACACTTTGCTAATTCATTCCCCCCACTTAAATAGACCTTTTGGTTGTTGTAACTAGGAACCTTTATATGTAGGTTTTAGCTTCAAAGCATATGCCTAGCTAGCAGTGGCCAAATGATCATTTAATGTTTTGAGAACTGCCAAACCATGTTTCCTCAGTCTTTTCAACCTTTCAGCTGAAATTGCTGTCTATTTTCCGTTTGCACTGTGGAGCTGCATTAGAACAGAAAGGACGTGGAAGGGGCCTATTTCTCTAGGCAATACTCGGGACAGCTCAGGCAGGAGGAGAGCCCAGGGAATGGGTGTGTGTTGTCTTCCCGTCAATCAAGCCTGCCGTGGGCTGGCCTTTTTTGTCCTGCTCAAGTCTGGCTCTGCACCAGTTGGTCATGGTCACAGGTACCAGCGGAGTCAGATTTGGTGCTGTTAGGGCCATTCTCTGCTTTTCCTCTCTTTCCTGCCAGGTTGAGGAGTTGTCTGCCTTGGGCCAGACACTTAAATCCCAAAGGAGGGGTTGGTGAGCTATGTCAGTTGGCAAAATGATGGTTGCATAAGCAGTAAGAAGCCGAGGGCAATGCTATGGGGGTGGGACATCAGATCCTTGCAGTTCCCTGCCTGGCCACCCTAGTTTACTTGGTAATATTGAGGCCAATGAGAGAGCCTGTCACAGAAAACAAGATGAATGCTGCCTGAGGAAGAAGACTCAAGATTGCTCTGTGGCCTCCACAGGCATGCACATGTGAACATATACTTGCACACGAATACATCCTGGGGATCTGAGAAGGGCTGTTGTCCAGGTGTTGTCAAGGCAAACAGCCCAGCCTTATCAGTTGCCTGGCCCAGAACACTTAATAGTTCCCTGGAAG